TATATATATATATATATCTATATTTCCACATGATATGTATATATTTATTTCTCATTTATGTACAGAATTTTTACACTCTCCACAGTACTTTGTTTTCTGTAATCCAAATCCCATTCAATGGAATAAAGTATAGTAGTATATTATTTGTATAGTTAAATTATATTTTTCAATTTACAGTGAGATTTTATAAAGTGTCATAAACCTAAGTAATCATAATGCAATACTTTATTTTGCTTTTGAAAAATGCAAGCCCATGTAGGAATAAAAGCTGAGCAGTATTTAGTTTACTTAATAGAAAGTTTACATAGAACTAAGATTTTTTAAAAACAATGGTAAACACCTTCTTTTCATTATAATTTCTAGGAGGAGATAGGATAAAAACTTTGATTTGATTTACCTTAATCAAGGACACAGCTGAGTAATAAAACCAAGGTATGCACTCAAAGTTTTTTGAGGTAGGACCAGTTCTTTCAGGGATCTCCCAGATATATGTTTGAATCTCTCCTAAAATAGGCAAATGAAGTGTATTTAAATAGAGCCTTTTAAATCAGACTTCTTTATGGAGAACCAGATAACGAGTAAAAAACTATGGAAATATCAGGCATCATAGTCCTAGCTTTCATTTCTAGTTTCACTTTTGCTTTGTGATCTTAGTCAATGTGGTAATTAGTCAATGTCACACAGCCTTGAATCCTAGCTCCCAACATTCCGATTTGTGGATCACAGGCATCTCCTCCCTGCCCCCAGGGCTGTTTGCATTAGTCCTATTGAATCTTTTTTTTTCCCTTTTCTTTTTTTTATTTTAGCATATTATGGGGGTACAGATGTTTAGGTTATGTATGTTGCCCTTGCCTCCCCCTACTATTGAATCTTAATTGTGTATTCTCCAGTAAAGTTCTTTTATTCCCCTCTCCCCACCACCATAATCCTACATTTCCCAAGGCTTGGGTTAATTTTTTCAGGCTCCTGTGACATAGTCTTTCTCCTCCACTAACCAACCCCAGCCTTCCCCTCTTCCAAATTTTTAACAATCTACTTGGTACCCTCACCAAGGTAACCCTCACCTTTCAACACACCGCACAGTGCCTAGCATATAGCAGATGTTGTACTCAGAAGAGTTTATGGAACGCATGTAATATGATTCTTTCCTGACTAATCAGAACAGAGGGCTGACTTGCAAACTCCCTTGATAGGAGATTCATGTTGATACCATCATAGGACTGTCTGTTTTCAAAAATAAAAAGGAATATTTCACCCACCACCAAAGTCTATCTCCAGTCCTTCTGTTTCACAAATCTTTCTTTTCTGAATTTGGCTGTCATTGACACTCTTAATTTCCAAAGCTACTTGATTTGGTGGGCAACTATGTGGACATTCTGATGCCCTTCTTGGGTCCCTCTTCAAGAATAAAGGACTTGTTGCTCCAGCAAGAGTCAGCGTCCTCAGAGACAGCCTTGGCTAAAGAGAGCTACCTCTCTCGAGCCTGCATCCAATGACTGGTGTGGGGGCATAAAGGCCCAGCTCGCTCACTCGGGCTCAGAACAGCCGAGGCTCACCCTGTCTTCAGGACTTCTCGTAGGGTTGGCTGTGACTTCTGTTGAGGATGCATCTCCACTCAACCTTGCCCCCTTCCCAATCCTACTTCTTTTTCTTTCCATAATCATTGATCCTAGGAGTACTACTGGCATAGAAATCTTCATTTCACAGTCTGTTTACTGGGCGTTTTCATACAAAAGTGTTAAATTTTCTTCTGAGTTGAGTATGCTGAATGGCTTGTTGTAGAGTGGTGATGCTGTAGAAATGTTACCATGTGGGGTTCATCACTTCCTCTTGAGTATAACAACCCTCCTTGAGTATCTTGTACTCAACTCCCACTGCAGCATTTGAGTTGAGATTGAACATAGCACAGAGACAGCAGGGAGGATGACCCTAGAGGAGAAACTGTATATGCTAGGGATGTGGGTCCTGAAGACCAAACAGTCGCTTCACAGTTTTGCCCATGGTGCCCCAACCTGCAAAAGCAACCCCCCCAAACACTTTCTCCAGGCCCTTCTCATGAGTTCACTGGTGTCTCTCATCTGGAACTGCACCTATAGTTAAGAAAGAAGAAAAGCCCCGTAGACTTCCAAAAAAGCTTTGGAGATTTTTCTTTTTCCCTCCCAAAGCAGTTACCTGGCTGAGTGGGAACAACAGTGGAATTGTTCATTTTCACTCCATGAGCATGAATAGAATATAGTCTTGGGGCTTTATTTTTAAAGATAATTCGAAGTTTTTGGCCAGGGTTGACAAATATTAAGGGACCTACGGAGTATAAAAAGGAAAATACATGAGTAATTATTATTTATTTTAAACTATGAGTCTTTTGTCCTCTTAAGTATTTACATAGTGCCTTATTCTTATCCTTTTACTTATTAATAACATGAAACCAAAGAAAACAAAAACATTTAACAAGTAGATCATTGCTGATTTATGAAACATGATTTTTGCCTGAAAAACTTAAATCATCTAGAATTTTTATAAGTTCCTTCTCTAGAAAACTTGCTTTAATGAGCATCAGTTAATGCTTAGGAAACTATACGATTTTGAAATGGAACTCTTTGTTTTCTTTCCTGAGCAACCTCGTCTTTTAAGCGTTATATTCTCTTGCCCCTTTTCCTTTGTGGAGGATTGTGAGGAGCTGCGAGGCCTTTTATTGACCCAGGGTGATTTTTCTCTCTCACAGGCCGAAGACCCCTTCATTTTACTCTTCTTCCCTTCCATCTCAGGCCAAGAACTGCAGGTATAAAATTTATTTTAAATCCTTTTTCTGTTTGGAAGCAGATTAACACACTGAGTGCCATGTGAGTTGTATTTAACACATGCTAGTTTTGAACTTGGGGCCTCATAAAGCAAAACCCTGCAGTTGGTTTGTGAAAATCTTACTTGCTGATGTTCTTACATTACAATTAATATTGATGATTTAATTCTAAAAATGTGGATTGCATTGCATATAACTCAGAATGCACAGAAAACAATAAAAAATTACAAATTACAAATTAGAAGGGGTTGTTTTGTTTTAGTAAAACACCATGGCTCCAGGGGAAAAAATTTTTTTTCTAGTGTGGCAATGTGTTAAATTGGTGGCCCTAGAAATTCTGAAATAGAGTTGAGATGAAATAAGCAGCAAGAACTCTCCTCAAACTTGTGCTATAATTACTGAAATCAGAGCCCTGAAGATGCCCAGTGGGTGCCAAATGCCAGTTAAAGACAGGCTTGTTTGCCTCCCATGAATTCCACCTTTCCAAGCAATACACTTATTTTTCCTTTTCCATAAAGTGTTTTCCTTTTTGTATAAATACTAATAGACTCTAGAGGGTCATGTTGTGTTATTTATCTTAGTGCATTCAGCAGAATCTAGGAGAAAACAAACACCCTGCGGTTACTAAAGATAGGGACCCACTCAAAAGCAGCAGGAGTGGACAGCACAGACCTCCCTCCAGGGCTCACACAGGGACAAGCTCTGGAGGCTGATGAGGAGCCAAGAAGACTGAAAGTTCCTCCTCTTACATGTAAATCCATCTTTTCAGGGTCCCACACCAGAAAATGACCTCTAATATACACATAGAGATCAGTACTCAAATAGGAGTTGGGCATATGAAAATGTCACATGTGTGTACCTGGGTGGGACTCAGGTTTCCCAGCTGATCTGTCTATCAGGGGTGAAAAAAAGGGTTGTACTTTCCCTCACTTGTGGGTGGAAAATGAGGGAAGACACTTAAATTTAAACAGAGTTCCTCTCCTCGCTGTACTAGTGTTTCCTGGCCTTTGTTTTAACTTTATTGAAATTATCCTTAAATGCTACTTCTGAAGTCCGTTCTGGATCTAGAATTCTTGAATTCTGAAGGCCAGAAGCCAGATAATCTGAAACTGAGCACATTAATTTTCTATAGTCTCTATTTTTGGGTAAATAATACCTGAACCATTTTTTTCCCCAGTAAAAATGCCTATTAACAAACAAATTAGAATTATAGGCACTTTCCTCTGCCAAGGTGGAAGGTGACAATGTCCTTCATATATACAACAATACGTACTAGCTGATGACAAGAAGAAAAACCAAAAAACTAATCTTATGGCATATCAATACCTAGTATATCCAGATGTTTTTTGTCTTCATTTCTTTTTGTTTTATTTGTGAATGTGTTATCATCATATTGACGGTATACAACTTTTTTGTATTTGGACCCAAGATGTGTTCCATTTCTATCTACATATATGTTTGTTTTGCTTTACAAAAATAAAAACAAAAACAAAAAAACACAAAGTTAGTTAATTTAACCATTAAATTAGACAAA